TTATACTCATAAATAAATGTTTAATCTGTGTTCTGATTAGTTTTTGGACGACCTCCATAAATTTTCTTAATTTTACTCACTGTGGATCTTGTAACGGGTGTTTCTGGATATATTTCGTTTCAATTTCAATTCCCTGGGTTTCATTTAAATGCGCCATATTTATTCACTTTTATTACTGACAGAAATGTAGTTGTGACAAGTGAAGAACTTTACTGATACTAGCTACTAACCTGTTAATTTCAAAATTAAATTTTCGTTTTTTATTCTTTTGTTCAAATAAAGAAAGATATAGGTATAGATTATACTACATGAATTGTGCGTGAAATTTGACACAGTATCCGAAAATGGATTTAAAAAAATAGTGTTCCGTTTAAAAATAATAACTGGGTGTCCACATCTACTTTTTGACACAACCTATATATTATCCGTTTACTGCAAAAAATGTGATGGACGTGTGCGGCCATTTTTGTTGAAATTCAATACCTGATTTTCAAATGAATTTGTTCCATATTTTATCCCTTCGCTGGATAAGGAACAAACTCGTATTTTTGTCTTATTATTTTCACCCTATTGAAGCGGATGTTATATATGTAAAAGACTACCCCTTATGTTCAAAATCGCTCCAGGTAATTTACACACTCTGCATGTCATTTTATATTTCGATTATACTTGAAAAATAAAGTTGATGATCAAATTTCCCTCCATCTATCAGGATTTTCGAAATAAAAATTATTTTAAAGCAATTTGGATGATTGAAAAAACCTTAATGATTTTTGTTTATTAATTTAATTAACAGAACGGACTATAAAGAAGGGTTCGAGCATTTTTTTTTTGGCATTACGATTTAATTTAAATTCGAATTCAGCGAAGCCAGATTTTAAATTTTCATGTTTTCAGCAAAATTTTTAAATTGCAAGTACAAGCGAAACAGTATTTAGAAAGTCAATAAGCAAATTCGGAATCAAACTATAAAACTCCTACGTGGAAAATATAATAATTAATAAAAAAATATATATAATTTAAACTAAGCAAGATTTACCATGTTTTATTTGCATCTTATAGAGCATTTCCATTTAGGTTTGAGTCTATTTAAAATAAATCTGCTTAATTTATTCTACAGATGTTTTCACTAGGGCCACCATATAGCTACTAGAGATATAGAGGCCCTGCCTATACTGATAATACACGAACTCATGAAGTAACTATAAACCAAAATTTGAGAAAATCCATTCAACATGCGCATGCGCGAAATTTAAAATTTTGTTTTTAACCAACGGCCTTGCGGCAAAAAAAGCAGTTAAGTGTGTGGAAATTGCTTTTTTCTACTCCCGTCTGTAAAATACCTAATTACGCTCCGATCTAGCGTGCGGGAAGCGTCGCTTTACCACGTCAGTTTCGTTGACGTTTGTCAATTCTGAGAGTCATGTCAGTGAATGTATGTGTTTTGCGAAAATGTACCCAAAAACTAACGGTCGTAGAAAAAATATAGTATGCAACACGTTCAGTAAACTTTTTAAGTCACTCGTTTATTAAACTGTGAGTGTCTGTAAAATTCCTAATTACCCACCGATCTAGCGTGGGGGAAGCGTCACTTTACCACGTCACTTTCTTTTCCCACGAATCCGAGCCACTTCGGACATTTCCGGGATTTTACCGCACGGGAGCAATCGGATGTTTTCGGAGATATTTCCCACGCTTTGAATTTTGACGTTTGTCAATTCTGACAGTCATGTCAATGAATGTATTCGTGTTTTGCGAAAATATTCCCAAAAACTAATGGTATAGTGTGCAACAGGTTCGGTAAACTTTTTAACTCACTCGTTTATTAAACACTCGCTCCGCTCGTGTCAAATAAACTCGTAAGTCAAATGCCGTTTACCGCACTTGTTGCATAATATACTATTTACAAAAAAAATACAAAGTATAGAGTGGGTGGAAAAATCATTCGTTTCTCTACGAAAATGTCAATGCCGCCTGCGGCACATCAATTGTTACCGTCCTGAGCCCACTATATTATCGAATAGCTACATATGGGTTAATATATCACCGGTTTTTGTTATTGCAAAGAATTTTCCGATGAGTAAAATTAGTTCAAACGTATTGTGACAATACGGTATATGTCTGAACTATTACATTGAAGGGAAAAATGTTTTAAAAACTGGAGAGAAATAAGCCCAAATTTGCAGGTAAATACCAAAATAAATTCGTTATGGTTATTATTACCATAATCACGGGAAACGGGCACTTAAAGCGGGCTCGGCAATTGCCACATAGCAAAACGTGTACACCGAATCGCGTTATCGAGGGTAAATCAAGTTTTTTTAATTGCCTGTGCAGCAAGTGTGCGCTCTTTGCCAGACGACCTTCAGCCAAAAAGTCGATCTTCCAAGATAAACTGACGGCAGTAGAATAGCGATAAGCCTTCCAAACGCATAGAGAAAGTCAGCATTTCATTTTACTTAATTGCGCTTCTAAAAACGGACGGCAACTACGGCGACGAGAAACAAATTCCAAGAAGTCGAAAGTACCGTCCGGCTGCAATACAAATAGCTACGCTAATGAAATTGTCAGTCGGATTTACTCATTTTCCTTAATTTCTTGGAAATGTGAACTGAAGAAACTTGTAGGACAGGTTGCGGGTATAGGATTGTAATGTCTCTTGGCAAGCCTTTTGCATTTGGTTGTTGATCTACTCCATTTTGACCAGGCACCGAAATCAAAAGAAATCGAGAGTGAAACGTGAATTGTTGTTGGTACAATAAACTGATAATTCAATATTTCACGGTTCGGCTTCCGCGTCCAGTTTTTTATCATTACAAAGTAGCTCATTACTGCGTTATTCTTCCATATACCTGTAAGAGTGTATTTTGTAGACTAATGTTAAATAAAAAAGTTGTCACCACAATACAGGATATCGTATATAACTTATATTACTTTGGTGATACTTTCCTTCAGGTTTCCCTATACATAATAGCAATAGTTTCTTAGATATCTTAATTAGTTGAGAGTTTTTGAAAGATATAGTTTTATTATGAACACTATGCCTTTTAGTTATTTTTCACTGGTGATAAATCTTGAAATATTTTCGATTAAAAGAAATTATTATTGTAAACATTTCATTTACCTTCACTTTGTATTTCGTGTTTCTTGTGTTTCAATTTTTAAAAATTTATTATTAAGTTCAAAATATCATCACTACAGAGAACAGGAAAATAGAAACCTTTTTCATGTTTTATATGGGTTTAACTCAGGTGTCGCCTAAAGCAATAAAAATTCGCTCACTCTGTACAAGTATAATCTTAGATGACATTGCAACAATTCATTGATAATCTTGTTACTTTCGAAAATCGATCAAATCGAATTTTCGAAAATATCTGCGTTCGTATAAAAATTTTATATCTCGGTAACCGTAGGTCCTATGGGATAGCCGTTGGTACACAAATGATCACTGTCGAAAAAGAATTTTTTTTTGTCCGTTTGTCCTTTCTCCGTTCTCCGTTCTCGTCTTTTGGTTTTTCCTGAATAACTTTCGAACCGTTGAAGCTACAAAATTGAAATTTGCTTCCTTTTAACCCTCCACGAGGCACATAAGCTTATAATAAATGGCCCCGATTCGACGCCGGTATCCATCTTTTTTTAGCGATTTTCGACTCTTTTTTGGACCTTGCTATGAAAAAGATAAGTGTCCGAAATTTGAAGCACTCGACTTTATATTTGGCAGATCTATGCAGCTTTGCCCCGTGACGGAACCTATTGAAAATGGGGGAGGGTGGTCGGGTAGTATTTTAAAAAAAATAAAAATCGCGTGTGCAAGACCATTTTTCAGAAACCGTTTACAAGACCGAAAAAATTCTTGATCGAGAAGACACAGAGGAAACGACTCCATAAATATTTATTCTTGACAATTTTTCCAAAATATACAGGGTGCGCCGCAAATTCAAAAAAACTGAAAAATGCGCCTCGTATTATTGAAAATTGGCAATAATTTCAAATCTGATGATATAGCCCATACAGACAGCTTAAACTTTTGTATTTACGGTTTTTAAGTATTCTATAGGGTGTTAAGTACTCCAAATTTGTAGCTACCGACTACGCATCCAGAAAAACATCTTTTCCTGCAAAGACATTCATCCGATCGGAAAAATTTTACATCCGTAATACGTGGGAGACCCGGCGCTATAACTTTTGTTTTACGCATTTTTTCTTTTATATACAAGGTGTTTTAGTTATGGACAAAAATCTAAAAGACTCTGAAAATTGTTCTTTTAGAGAGTATTAACCATAAATCAAAATTTGTACAAACAATAGCTAATTCGTTCGAACATAGGCCGTATCAAGGCCTACAATTTTTGTATTTACGATTTTCGTCTATCACATACGCTGTTCGAGATATTTGAAAAAATCCAAATGAAAATCACCGTTTCTCGCTCTCAATCTAGACGCGATGACGTCATCTAATATTACCACGTATTGCATGGTTTCAGAAAACAAGCAGTTTTTTGAAAACCATTTACTCCATTGGAAAAATTCGGATACCAGCAAACTAAGGAGATCCAGGGCTATAACCTCTATTTCGAATTGTTGGAATCATATACAGGGTACGTCGTTTGTGCGCAAAAAATTCTAATAGATCCTAGAAATTTCCGCTTTTGTAGATGAATTATAAAAAACTTTTAAAGATGTGATAATTTGATACAAACAGTATCGTAAATTGAGTCGAAAGAGAGTTTAAGGGTTCGTCTATAATACAGGGGACTCAAGGTATTTGAAAAAATATAATTTTAAATTGCAATTACCAGTACAAATTTTAATATTTGCCGAAGTGAGCCGTAACTTTGAAGTTCGATAGGAGGAGGAGCACGATAGAAAAACAAAACGTCGCTCTAGGACAAGAATCCGCGAAGCGCCTTCTTTTTAAAATAAAAAGCTGATTCGCGCTATTTGCGATGAACTTGCCCCGCTCACCGACGATTTTTCGAAAGCAATCTTGTTTATTTCAGACTCCATTTTAAGATGTTAACTGTGGATTACGCCACGGTTAATACTCAGCAGCACAAGTATGCGTGTTCCACGATGTCTTCCGAAACTCTGAGCGGTAGCTGTGGGAGCAGAAACAACAGGATCAGGACTGTGAGGTTTGTTTTCATAACTACCCGGTAGACTAAAACAATATGGCTTTGGATAACGTCACTAATGAATATTTTTTTTAGTTTTATTGGGTAGTGATTTTATTCTTAAAATTATGTTGTGTTTACTTCGCGGGTTCCATGCTTTTATATTATTTTCATAATAATGGTGAACGAACTATGTTTAAAATTTTGGTTTTTTACCTTAAAAAAGAATAAAATTAATCAAAACTGAATCAAATCTGATTCTGCAGGCTTGTAAGACCTAGTCATGGACCTCTACCGCCGCCAACATCCAATTGTCGTCATGGCCCTTCCTTGGGCTTCAGTATTCGAGGAGGTCGGGAACATGGTACTGGATTTTTTGTCTCCCACGTCGACGTTGGTTCTGAAGCCTACTCTCAAGGCTTGAGGGTAAGTTAAAAACGAGGGCTTCAAGTTAAATTGTTATTTTTGAATGTAAATCATAATTTGCGTTCCCAACTCTTATCTATCTATCTCTATCGGTTCACCAGCTATGACGTCGACAATTTTATAAATGTCATTGTCAGTTGTCAAAAGTATAACCTGGTTGCTGCAGAAAAAAAGGTTTCTTTGCGCTGCCTTGCTATTTCCTTTCAAATTAACAAAATAAAATAGAATTTATGCGCAAGAGGAGAAGGTTGATATGCAATTTTTCTAATTTGTGGCCAATCTCGAAAATTGGTAGAGGTAGAGAACTATATGCAGTAAGTTATCCTGGATGGGGGTTAGCAAATGTAGAATGAACAGACATTTCTAGGCACTTGTCGGAATCACAGTGAACCAATAGACATAGAGAAAAACTTTATATATAAAAGTTGTTTAAAAATATATTAATATTACAAAAAAGTGATGTGATTATGAAAATACGAAATCACATTCGCAAATTTGCACTCCTACTCACCGTCAACAAATTTGCATTTGTTTTCTCGTTTTATTGATATAGGCACAGTTGCCCTAACTCAGATCACGTGGACACCTTTTTATTTCGTTTTTGCTACGAAAGCTAACCAAAATTTACAAAATTCCTCGTTGGAACAATAAATGATCACTGTAGATATAGTATTTTTAAGTATCACGGATGTTGATGTTTCGCGTTTAATCCTTTGAACCCACCAAGTTTGTATACGTTCAAATCTGGACGGACAGGTGTTACAACAATGCGTGACAATAGAAACCGACAATAGGATTCGCAGTGAATAGATGCTTTAAATGCACAATGGTGCGAAATTATAAATAGAATGTAACAATTACGAAAGGAATAAGATTAAACATCTGGTATAAACCGTTTTGTTTACAAAAACACACCGTTAGAACAGAGAAAGTAGTTCATGTTAAGAAAATAGTTTTACCTTCTGTGTGCGAACAATTCAATAATCAATAGTGATAAAGATTTATTAATAGGAATCAATTAGAAACATCTTTTTATATATACAAACAAACAAAGAAATGTATTAAATTATGATTTAGACAATCGAATGAGAATCTTAGAAAAAGAATACGATCTTGTTATGTGCTTCAAACTAGAGGAAAATGAAATGAAAAGTAAACATTTTACCCTTTGTTTCTTTTTGAAGTTTTATTTTTATTTTACATTGTAATTTATTATAAATCAGCTGCTTGTCAATTGCAATATTGGGAAAACGACTCGTTTTAATAAACGTTAGGAATTTAAATTGCTTTGTAATGCGCATTAAAAATGATAAGTAAGGCAATATGCGCTTACTGAGTTGGCACAAATACTGCCATATTGTAGTAGTTTTTATGTTCGAAGAAAAATATAAACACGGAATAAGTAAGCAGAAATATAACCGTTTTCTTTGTCAGCAACGCAGCGGCTTGAGTTCGCAATACTTATTGCCTTTATTCTTTAATAATGAAATTAACTTTCAATTTCTCTGTTCTGGAATTTCCTATTTGTGAAACTGACGTAAAATAAATCATTCAGGTTCATTTTTAAGCGGAAATTATATAAATTATCTCGTTAGAAATATGCTGCATACATTTCAATATATTTTATTTTGTTTTCCTATAGCTAATTCTGTTGTGCTAAATTACACCGGTTTTGTTATTTAATGGAATAATTTATTAGCAGTTAAATATTTTTCGCAAAAGCTTTTCCACTGTCTTTATGGTTAATTTTCGATACTGTAGGTTCCAGCTGTCAATAATATTCACTTAAGATTCTAGAAAAAATTTACTATAATTCTAATATAGCTTGTTTTTTTATATTTCTATCTTGCTCTGCTTGTGAGATTACAGGGTGTCAAGGTTGAGTTTTTTTCAAAAACTCAAACTCAAAGAAATGATTTTTTAAACGAACTTAGATACGAAACAAGTAGGGAGCTTATTTTAAAAATTCTTGGCACGCTTATTTGTGGCCATAAGGGTTTATTTGGTGTAATTTTAAGAATTTTTTTAAGACTTTTTTTTGTAGATCAAGTAATCAAAAATTTCATCGAGATTAGTCTTCAAGATAATTACTAAAATACTTTCAAAATGATTTTTGTAACGGAAGTAAATACAAAAACAGTAAAAACACAAAAGTGTTTTGGTTAGTTTATTTTTGATTGTATTGTATCTTAAAATAATTACCCTCCTGGATAAGTTTGGCTTTTGAGAATTTTTTTCTAAAACTTTGATGCCCTGTATCTCAAAAACAATGGAAATTATTACACATGTTTGTATGAAAAAACATACTTATTTTTGGATGACAAATATGTCTTAAAAATCTTTGTACCGAATTTTAAAATACTCTGTACAATTTGTTTGTTTCTTTCATATCTACAATTATTTTGATTTTGGGACTGTAATAAATCGCAACACCATGTTTTTCGATGTTCATTAGGGATAACGGAGTCAGAATAGAACCTTATGCAACTTATTTGATAAACGTCATTTCAGTCACCAGAAGAATTGATCTTCGCCAATCTCTATCGACCCATTTGGCGTAACAAACGGTTTAAAACAGGGTTGTTGTCGTTTTCGACGCTGTTCAGGATTTACTTAGATCGGGCACTACTTCAGTGGCGCCCTAAGTGTGGAGGTATGGGCATTCCAATTTCACAAGAGTACATTTCACAGACACCCAGATAGTTGTTGTGCGTAACAAAGAAGAAAGAAGATATGACAAGAAAGGAACATGACAAAAATATGTGTGTCGGAGGACGAAAGAAAGACTTAGTGCTAAATGAACACTAAAAGGTAGACAGATGTCAGGACTACACTTCTTTGGGTACAAAAATGGAGAGTAACGCAAGATGTGAAAAGGAAATTGAAGAATGCGTAAATAAAGGAAAAAGAATAACTGGTGCCTTAAACTTCATTCTGTGGTCGAAAGATATTACTAGACACAATGAAGAACTAATATATAACGCTTTTTTTGAAAGCACTGTGTTATACGGAGGAGATCAGCACGAGTATCGCGGTTAGACCATGTAAGGGACACTAGAACTAGGAAAATCATAAATGTAAAAGAGGACATCGCTGAGAAAATTCAACAAAAACAACTTGGGTGGTATGGTCACGTGGAATGAGTATCATCAGAGATAATTTCTAATATGGTAATGAAATGGACGCCAACAGATAGACGAAAAGACTGGCGAGCTAAAAGAAAGAAAGCTACAAGCTGGTGACTGGAACCACAGAGACGTCTGGAGAATGCGGACTTGAGCTTACGCTATGGAGTAATATACATATACGATTGAGTTAGAAAAAGAAAACAATTATAAATATTTATCAACGAGACAAATACGTCATTCGATAGTAGAAATGCCTATCCAGGTTGTTGGTATATTACTAGCGGCTTCGTGGCGGAACAGGTTTAGCAGTCCAACATTTCCTTTGCGGCAAAATTTAGATATCGTTACGGTCGGCGTAATCCGAGGAAAAACGCAAAACAATATTGTCCGAGATTTCTGTACGTGGGCGTGTTGTGGCATAGACGCAACAGCGCAGCGGCACGTAAAAATTACATTGCGTGAAATCCGTCGGGTTTGGTTGGATTTGTTTAAAAGCCTCGTAAACGTGCGGTGGTTTGCGAAACGTTTATTATTGAATTGAGACGAGTTGCGTTGTCGGCCCATATTTTAGAACACCTAGTCCGAGACCGAGTCAAAATTCATTAAAATTAAACAAAATTGTTACTTACGTGGTTTTCTGTTGAAGGAGAGCAAAATTAAACACCAACTATGCGATCAACCTAAAGAAAATATCTTTTTTTCTCTCTGTTTCTCTCGATATAATAATTAAGAAAAATTGTGACTTAGGTTACTTTGTGTCACTTAAATACTACTCTAAAGGAGAGCAAAAGAAACACAAAACATGCGCTCAACTTAATAGGATTTTTTGTCTCTCTATTTGCCCTTTGTATTTAATGCGTAAAATTTAATTTTTAATATTGTATACAGGGTTTTCTATGTTTTGCTTTTATAAGGCTCAAAAAACAGCTCCAGTGATAACTAAAGTGCATTCTGAAGTTAATTGATATCCCCGATTTTTATGCGTTTTGTTTTGTTAAATCTGAAATCTGCAAAAACTACCATCATCAGATAAATTTAAGAACTAACCAAAACTAACGAAAATGATCACTTCAATTTTTATGTTATAAAATTGAAATGGTAGTAGGCTGCGGATCTGAATTTTAGAAGCGTTTTGGGAGTCGCAAGAAGGCGTGGTCAATACAAAAATTATTTTTAAAAATTAAAAATCTGACTGTACGTAAATTACAGTAGGCGCCCTCAACTCGTTGGAAAAAAACGAAACAATAAAAAAGATAATGATAGAAATAGATGATGAAGATTACAAATATTTTAACAAATGCAGCTTACCAATCTACGCGAAACAAATATCAAGATAACAACTTGGAAAGGCATGCTCTATATTTTTAGAGCCTGCATAAAATTTTAACGTTATTAATAAATATCAGTAAATGAGATAGACACGTCCATAAAAATGGTTTTATCTGTTGGAATGCTGATAGTACGTAGGGCGTCCCAAAAATATGGGGGACTATGCACTGATTGTGTTGAAATATACACAAGCACAGACAGACACAAAAATATGTTGAGTAACCATTCTTGCTCCAATTGTATTTAGTTATTTTTTAAATATAATTTAGCAACAGTAATAATCGAAAATGAATTCAAAGAGTTACTGAATTCAATTGTGCTTATTAATATTTTTTTATTTCAAATTGCCAAGGTGCTAAATAAATATATGGTTAAAATTATAGTACCTTATTTAAAATATAAATTAGATAATAATTATATTATTATAATTACGTTAAAATTAATATATGTTCTTTTTTCTGTTATGTGCGAATGTAATGTGTAAAAAATCAAACTTTATTTCATTACGCAACAGGCCAAAACGAAACCGAAAGCTTTGCATGC